TATGAGGTAGTTTATCGTGGGCTTCTTGGAAGCCAGCCTTGACCACTGAAAACAACCTTCCACCGTATGGGAGAGGCTTGGCAGGCAGGCAAGGTATGTTACGGGTCCCTCTGTTAAGGATGCCCATCCAGTGGGACCAAGAAGAAGGGCTTTCTCCGTGGTGGCTCCCTCCCTGTGGAACATCATCCCTGCAGAGATAAGACTGGCCCCCACCTTGGTGCTCTTCCGCAAGGCCCTGAAGACGTGGTTGTCCCAGGTCGATCCGGAGCCCATCAGGTGGTTTATTTGAATGTATTGTTGTCGCCAGGGGGTGGGGGGGTTGGAGTGGGTTTTATTTTGGGATTTTTATTCTTGTAAGCTGCCCGGCGTCACCAAGAGTGCGTTGGGTGGCCATATAATTTGTACGTACGTACGTATGTACGTACGAATGAATGAATGAATGAATGAATGTTCTGCCTCCCTGCCAAGGCTCTCCCAAATCAACTCCAATGTTTGGCGGACCCATCTCTGCAGGTTTCTCTGGAGTGTTCGTTTGGATTTCCAAATAGCCTTTGGCCCGGCTTACCCCTTTCTGCATTCTGGCCACCCCTCTGTGCACCCAGCAAAGTTCCCGTCCCGCTTGTTGGACTAATTTAGGCATTTTGGCCTGGCATTCGCTTCCACCCCTGCCTTCAGTAAGACCTGTTCCCGAAGCAGCTGTGAGAATGGTCAGCAACCCTCGCATATAGCCATGACTCCGTTCGGTGCAATGCGCGGCGGGGAGATTATAAAACCATCGTAGCCTGACCTGGGAAGTCTGCCTGCTACATTCCACACAGCTTCTCAGAGCAGTTAGTCACAGCCGCCGTGTTTCCCAGAAGCTGGAGAAGTCATTTCTGGCACGTCCCATCTCCCAAAGATGCTGGCTCATAGGAAGGGGGTGTAAATGCTATACTGTTATTAGTGGAATATTAATATTGGTTTTGCTGTGCTGGATTCGGTTTGGGAACAGGTGCACGAGAGTGCGAGGGACCATGTGCAGAGGGCTGCTGAATGGTAAATATATACCGATGTGAGCAGGAAGGAAGAACGGCCTAAATCAGAGGAGACAGATATAAAGCAAGATTACCCCTCCCCTCACACACACAGACACTTTTCTTTATTAAATGAACAAGGAACGTGGGTTAATTCATTCTTTTTCCTACCCAGTGGAAAAACTGCAAATAAGGGGAAATGGCTTCCGAGCAGATTTTTCTTTTAATCTCTCCGCTTATTTGCCAGCCACTGCCTCTTTCGCAGCTGCCTGGGATGACAAGCCACGTCCGGCTTAATAACCTGCTCGGGCAGTTGGAAGCTCAGCTCCGGGTTCTTTCTTTCTTTTTTGGCTGCTCAAGTCAAGGAGCGCGTTTGGCATCCGTACAAGTCAATGGGCAAAAAGCTCGGGGAGCGTTCAAGGGCAGGAATTCAGGTGCCGGCTGAAAACAGCGCCTGATTCCAGGCCCAGCGTTGCAGAACCAGGGCCAGCTTCTCTCTCTTTTCGAGGCACGGCTGCCCTCCGGAACTTCTGCCCACTTCGGGAAGTGGCGGGCACGATGTGGCATTACAGCGGGGGGGGCCCAGTTTGCACTCTTTTCTCTAGCAACGCTCCCAGCTTCTGCTTAGCAAATTCAAAGGGGGCCCAAGCTTGCTTAGAACTGAGAAACTGAGAACTTTTGAACTGTCGGAGGCCACCGCGGAAAAGACAACTGGTGCTTTCTTAAGCATCTGGATTAGTGCCCAGCTATCCTGCTTTTTTTCTTCTCTCTCTCACAAACTTAGGGAGGGCCCCTCTCCTCAAACTTAGTTTTCCACTATGTGAATGGCAGGAAGTGACTCAGTAGTTGGCAAGCCTTGCTCCCCGTTCTGGCCTTCTATCTCCGATCCAACATGACTACTCTCTCAGCAAAACCGGCGCTTCCTTCCTGAGGTTAATTAATTCGAGAGTGCGCGCCCGCATGCACCGGGGCTGAAGCACCCGGTGCTTCAGGAGCGAGGAGCCATGTCCTGAATGCCCTTCGTTGTATTCCAGTCCCCGGATTCATTCCAGTAGCTTCGCTACCAGAAGCGGCGATGCTCACAGATGCTACAAGCCCGTCGGAACATTGCTCCAAAGACGTCACCCTTCGGGTTGCCCTTCCTGTCGGTTGTTTCTAGCAGCGGACGAGTAGTTTCCTCCTGCAGTTTGTAGGCCTAAGGGAGGGGAAGCTAGGCTAGACCTTGCCCCGTCCATGTGGGGCCTGCCTGTTGTGGTAGAGCAGTGTTTCTCAACCTTGGCGACTTTAAGACCTGTGGACTTCAACTCCCAGAATTCCCCAGTCCACAGGTCTTAAAGTTGCCAAGGTTGAGAAACTCACCCTGAGTTCCACCCTGAGCTTTCTGGGAGCTGTGTGGCTCTCCTCTCATCTTGAACATGTTTCCCTTATGCATGTTGCAAAGCCAGAAAATCAGAAGCCTTCTTGCTGTTTTTTTAATGTGCCTTTATGCATTTAATAAAACTGAACCAAAAAAAAAAAAAAGTGAAAGGAGAGGGGGAGAGAAAGAGGAAAAAAAAAAGAGAAAGCAGTGTCACCCAAAAGTTACATAGGTTTCTCCTCTGTGCACATTTGCATTAAATTTAACGGACGGCCATGTTTCTGCTGTAATCGTCCAAACTTAATCTAGATATCCGGAAACAACTCGTTCAGAAGTTGCAAGCGATGTCTGGTCTTTGATCCCTTGAGTAAGGGGTGGGAGACCCCCTTGCTGCCCAGAAAGTTGGTACAGTCATCCATGGCCCCCTTGAAGATGCTTTGCACATCTTCCTAGCCACCCTGTCCCAACTGATTGGCTTTAAACGAGTTTTGAATTAAGAAGCTAAGAATGCTGGGGGTGCCTTGCTTTTAAATACTTAATATATTTAATACTACTTTAAATAGAATCATTTTCCTGTATAGGATCATGTCTTTGGCTATCCAGGATGTGCCTTTAGGACTATCGCAGCAACGAGGGCGTGCACCCCATGTTTAAACAGGGGAAACGTTGATCCAAGTGCAAACGAGGAGGCCTGGCCCAGCCAACACACACACACACAAACACAAATAAAGGCACACCTCTAGGGACAAACATGTCTCAAAAGGTGGACACAGCCCAAGCACCTGGGTGTAACCTTGCACGTAACAGTTTGCTCACAACTTCTTCCCACACGGCCAGCATAATTTCTCCCGCCCTCTGCCGCCTTAAGAATTTTGCAAATAAAAGTATCATTGGGCTGGCGAGAGGATCAAAGCAGCAAAGGTCCATCCGCCCAATTTAATAGCCCTCCCATAGTAGTAATTAGGGTTCGTGGCCAAACGTTTCAGCACCATTGTGCTGAGCGGGACGATGACGCTCCCACATTCCAGAGTAGCCGGCGGAACTCACTGCAACTTGAGACGGGCTTTGTGGGCAGCACACGTGCCTGAGACAGTTGCCCAGAATCCTTTGCAAGGCTTCCCCCCCATCCCCGGACAGAAAGGCCAGACCCCAAACCCAAACGAGCCACAAGGTGTTTGTGAAGCGCCGAGCCCGTTGCAAGAGAAGGTCTGGTTCTCAAGGAGCGAAGGTGGCCAATTAACCTTCACTTCCTGGTTGAGGACAATGGACGTATGAAAACACGGAAAACTGAGACAGCCCTGCACTGAGGACACCCCCCCCCCTTCCCAGTTACTCCAGTGGGCAGGCTTTCCACACACGTACGCATGCGCAGTGCTTTATACGTTCACTCAGTTGTTGCACGTAAGCTGGCTGCAATTTATGCTCTGGAAGAAAAGGCTGGAAAGTTAAACTTGCAGCTGTGGGCATTCTTAGAAACAGGGCTGTATGGCTATCCCCTTTGGACTTTAGCAGCTGAACTGGGAAAACAGCCTTAATTTTACCTATTTTCTGGGTTCACACAACGCATTGGATTTCAAGTTGCCAAACACGCCGGGTTTGCAGAAGATCTAGCTGCCCCAGAGAAGCAAAGAAAAACAGTTAATCGGAACCAGACTTTGCGTGTTTCGCAAGTTAACAGCCAAAAGGTCTTTAACCCGGTTAAAGCTATATGCGGATACGGCAATTGCAGGCTTGCAACAGGTCAGCAGAGTGCGATGGGGACAAAAGTTCATTGGCAAGGGGAGGCCTTTAGGATTAATGGCTGGAGGGAAGTTTTAATTTGATGGCTCCTCGAACCGACAGGTATTATGTATGGCTAATAAATTTATCATGCAAGTGATTAATTTGGCAACCTGTTCGGGATTCTTGGTCAAAAGCAGGGCTGTTCTGAATCATGCCAGCCATTTGGGGAGCCCACTTGTACAGGGAAAAGCAAGTGTGCCCTGGTTGCTCTTCTTTCAGACATGATTGTAGAGTGAAAGGGAAGACTCTCTCTCTCTTACCTTTTGGCCATTTTCTGAATAAAGGAGGTTAAAAAAAGGCCCACTGGCTTCCTGTGTTGACCTAGGATTTTCCCATCTTGGTTTATCCCTTTAACGAAGTGTCTGTAAAGGCTTCTAAATTCTTCCCTTGGGGGATATGCAAAGCACCCTCAACTGTTTCCCAGGAACTGTCTCCCCCGCCACCCATTCCACCTCTGCCCTGATTTTCTATTAATTGTTTTAATACACCTATTTTAAAGCAGGAAGCTGCTGGGTTGTAAATCAGATTGCTAGACTTCAGCAATGTCTTTCTTGCAAAAGCACCGTGGGGTTGCACAGGGATGGTAATTAGGGATGGTCATCCCATCCTGTGAGACTAGCTTGCCTTTTAATCAGTAGGTGTTCTCCCCACGTGCTCTCAACCCTCCAGACGTGCCCCTGACCGTGTCTATAAATAAACTGGGATTACAGAGACATTCAGCTTTTGCTTGAATCACCATAGTGGGACAGGACTCTCCAGCTGGGGCTGCTGGGAGGGGTAGTCCAGCAGCCCAGGGGAGGCCCCAGGTCCATCTGAGCAGCAGATCCAAAGAGGACGAGGCAGGCCAATAAACAAAAGGATTGAGCAACCTTTATTTCTTATCAATGGCCTTGAGGCAGAATACTTTCCACGCCATTTCAAAGTTCAGGTCATTCATCACGCCTGGCTTTGCCCCAAACAGGCAATGAAGACTCAGCAAAGCTCCAGAAGGCGAGGCTGGGCTGGGCCAAGCTGGGGAGGGGGGCGGAGGGGGGCAGGCAGCACCATGGATCTCGGTACCCCAGGGCAGGTTCCCCAGATGCCTGATTTAAGGATTTTGCCTGGAGAGAAACAGAAGCACGCTAGACCAGGATCAGCTGCGTAGCTCTGTCCCCTCTTCTGTTAACACCACTCCCCTCCCAAAAAAAAAGCTGAGCCCAGGAAGTGGTAGATCGGGATCTTGAAGCACCCAGCTCCCCAATGGTGACTTTCTGGAGAAAGGGGTGAATCACCCGATTTTCCTATCGTTTGAAGGTGGAGTGGGCGTGACTGTGTACATTACCGCCAACAATTCACCCAAAATTAAGACATGCAGTATGACAGCTCAGCATCTAGAGGATCTAGCGGTGCTCTGGGATGAAACATAACAACCTGGTGTAACTTTAGAAACACCCTTTAAAAAAAAAAAGTGGTTATTTTGGTCCAGAAGAGAAATGCAACCCTTGTTTTGGTCCAAAAAAGCTACCTTAAAGTGCAGGCACCAGCCTTTGAAGGTCAGAGGGTAGTTCCTTTTAAAGGCTCCTTTTAAAATATTTGGGGCCACAAGAAACTTTGGGGCAGGGCAGGCAGGATGGGGAAGCACACCCCGTTCTTGGACTCAGCTCGATTAAGAAGTATTGGTCATGAGAGGGGATGGAAGGAGAAAAAATCGAGACTTAGGATCCCTTTGAGAAACGAAGGGTCATGAGATGTTTTGGGGGGGTAGAAAAAAGATACAATTCCAGCTGTGGCATGAAAAGCATGAATGGGAAGATATGACTGAAGAAAACCTAGAGGTTTTTTTTTTATATATATATATATAAAAAAAGACAGACGAAAGGAGCAACAGTCTGGCGAAAGAATGAGAATCCCAAAGTGTTTGATTCTTGGAAGAGAAATTTGGAGAGGTTCTCTGGAAAGGAAGATACTGGAGGCGGCGAGGGAGGAGGCTCAGAGGATCTGACGCGGCATCCCATAGCCCGTCATGCCCGCCTGCGAAGCCCCTCGGTTTGTCCCCATTTGCAGCCCAATGACGTTCTGCCCCTCTTTGAGTTTGTCGTCCGAGAAGGCCCGGCGATTCTCCTGAGACTTCCTGGTGTAAGCAAAGAACGGGAGAGAGGGGCAGTGAGGAAACCGAAACTCCTAGGTTGACATGTGACACTAAAGGGCGGCTTGTCTAGTGACCGTTCACTGAATAAACCCCGGTGGGCAAGGCTGACACCTGAAGGGGCACGAACGCCCAGGCAGACCCCTCCCTCGGTGCCCCAGACTCCGCTTGGTTTTCATTCAAGCCTGACCCTGCTTTGCAACCTCACTTACTTTGGAAACCAGTTGGGGTCTCCAGCGAAGAAGCCATCGTCTTTGGACACTGCCAAGCCCCCCAGGTTCATCAGGGTCCTCTGCACACAGGCCATGTTTTTCCCTGCGGGGTGGAAGGAGTTCAGAAACGGTTTGCCGGCATCCCTTCTAGTCGTCTGCACTTCCAAGCCTAACTTCATTCTCACAACCCCTTGCACCCCGAGGCTGCTCCCGACGGATCCCAAACCTTCTTTCACAATCATGTGCAAACCGAGGTTTGCACAGCTTTCCCTGGGACTGCTGTGTTTTAGGAAACTGCACGGTTTTAACCCTGCCGATTGCTACCAGGAGCAACCGCAAGCGACACACCGCTCCTTCCTCTGCTCTGGAAGACGCATTTGAATGAAACTCTTCGAGCGCCTCGAAGAGAAACCACATAAGCCCCTCTTATTTCTTCATCCACGTCTCCAAGAGCATTCTTGAATTCAGCCCCACCCCCAAAACAGGAGCACCAATCTGTTTGTGGCTAGAAATTTGATTTAAGGGAGTTAACAGAGACCGGCAGGATGCTGGAGTTCTGGATTTGTGGTTGGTTGGTCGCTCAGGACAACCGTCACATTGCTGCTGAATGGGGAGAAACCTGCTTTGCTGAATCCTGCTGCCTTGTTCAACAAATGTTACAAGGCAATCTTGTTAGGTGTTAGGGTTTTCCCTCATTTCTTCGGCCACCTTTCTGCAGAAAAAACGTGCAGGAGGGAGCAGAAATGCCTTTTTTTGGGGGGGGGGTAGGTTGATCTGGAAGGGCCCTAAAGTCAAAGATTTAAAGACGCTGCTCAACTGTAGCCACAGCTACCTCTTTCAAGGGGCATTCGGTAACAACTGCGTCCCATCTTCCTGCTCTTCCGAAACAGAAATTAAAATTCTGACCCACCTAGATCTAGTGAGGGTTAAAGATAGCCAAATACTGGGCACCATGGATACTGGCCTATACTATCCTAAACTACCCAAATCCACCTTAGCGTTATTGTTTTGCCACGAAACTCTTATTTTACGCCTGCCGATTCTGTTACCAGTTCTCAGATTTCCCGTGAAACAAAAAGAGTATCGATTTAATTTGTAGCCGCCCCTTAAAAAAAAATAAATGCATCTTTCCCCCCATGCGTTGCAACGTAAAAACCAAATAGTTATTGTAGCTTTGAAAACATGCCCTAAAACAAAAATCAAATGCCTTTTAAAAACAAGCCAGCCAACTAGTGGCATTAAAAATAAAGTTTTGGAAAGGTTTCGTGCTACAAAAACGCCTTTGGGTAGAAACCTGGCTTTGTGAAACCGACAAGGCTGAGCAGATAGGCCAGTTTTTCACAGTTACCCCAATAGTCAGGGAAAAAAGGGAAGAATTTGCAAAATGAAGGGGCCCAACTGTAGCCAGAAAGAGGCTTTTGCATAAAGTGTAGTTCCTAGATGTGTGCTCTTCTAGCAATATCAGGGCGGGGGGGAGCGAATTGTAGATCCTCCTGAAATGGGTGTTGGAAGCCCAATTTTTTGTCGTCAGGGGTGCTTTTTGAAAATAACTATTTTTCAGCTCCCGATGGCTGCAGGTGAGCGGGGCGGCAATGCGCCCCTTTTACAAACCATGCACACGAGGGGGGCTTTGAAGAGATGCACTGAGCCTCTTGGAGGGGTTCCGAGCCCAGTTCTGTTTAAAAAGAGGCAGAACGTTCAGCCTCTCCTTGCCCAATGCTGGGTCACAACTTTTTGGGGCGGGAGCTTAAGGGTAGGGTGCCAATGGCCAGTGGGGCTTATGGGCCCAAGCCACTGCTTGCTAGAGGCTCAGATGCTTCCCTCTTGGAAATACCTTCCCATAAATCCACGGTTTGGAATATGTCCGACGCCAGGATGCCGTACTTCTCGGCTGCGCGCAAGAACTGAGAAATCTGTTCCATCTGTTTGAAGGCCATGCTAGAAGACTGGATCTTGGCCACAGGTCCCTGGCCCTTAGGATACAGGCTGTTGATCAGCAGGCAAAGCACCTAATGAGAACAGGATGAAACACACCTTTAGCCTTGTGTCCCTTCCCAATTGCCTTACTCATCTGTTTAAGGGTCAAAACCAAGACGGTGGTAGTCTCCTCGAGCCAAAAATCTTATGCGTAGTGCTCTGGAGTGAAGCAGACTTGAGTCCCCTGCAATAAAGCATTTATTCTCTATTAAATTATCGGTCCAGTGGTGATTTTATGTCCAAATGGCAAGGAACAAGTTGCTAGCCCCTATTAGAAAAGCCTGGATCTAAAAATCTGGTCTGCATTAATACTTCCATAAAGTAGCTTAGCTTTAAAAAAAAAAATCTGTTCATTAAAAAAAAAACCATAAGAGAGTTTCAAACTATTTATATTTGCATCAACATCTGGAGTCTTTGTAGGCCTCTCCCCTTACTTTATATAGCTAATTTAACACGAACTGTCAGAACTTTTAATGCAAATTCTTCATCTTCTTCCCTTTTTGACTTAAAATTTCTCCAACGTGGGCTTCATTAATGTACTTTTTCTGATATAATTTTCACTCTTTCTCCAAACCCACCCACTTTCAACAAAATACCCTCTGAAATAATTTTGGACAGCCAGTTCTGCTTCATCAAATAGAACGAGAGCAGGCATAAGGGGGGGAAAATACGGACACGTTTTCCTATGTGGCACAAATTCCTCACCGTGCCATCTTTCAGCCATTTCTGGAAGTTTTCTTTGCCCGGCTGGGGCTCCCCGATGTCTGGCCCGCACTGGGCCCCAATCCACTGGATGAGGATCTGTTCCAGTTCAGGATCGTACTGTCGGTCGATCTTCTGCTGAACTTCTCGACTGAGTCCATAAGCAGGGCCTCGGTTTGCCATGACGCTAAGGTAGGTGGGTGATGGGTGTCCAAAAACTTGATCAGAGAGAGAGGAAGACAATTTTAGTATTAAACGACTGGATATTCCAGAATTCATCAGGGTCCAGGAGACTCCACCCTTGTGGAATCTCACTGCCCCGCTTTTCCTTTCACGACATCATTTCAAGTTCAGAAGGGGTGAGCAGGGGTGACAAAACCTTTTCTAGGCACCTTGGGAATAGCCTGGTGTGTGCGTGCGTGTGTACACTCAGAAAAGTGGAAGGGTCAAGGAAAGAATTGAGGGATTCCCCAGCAGAAAATGTTTTAAATCTAAAAGGAGCCCACTCGCTCCAGCCACCATCAAATTTACTACGGGCAAACTACAGTCCTTTGCTGTCGAATGTCATCGCATTCTCAGGGGAGGAGGTGAATTGTGGATCCTCAGAGATTATCACGGTCTTATACGATCCCTTTTCTAAGCACCTCCAGGTGTGCAATAAAATACCTGAAGCTTGAAGGCTGCAACTGGCAGAATTTCTTTGCGACGCTTGGGCGACATTTACTATCCCAACCCCCCCGAAGACCATTCCCCCACGTACCGTGAGTTAGCCATTGCATCTGTGCACTCTTTTTTTCGCAAGAAGCATTCATTAAAGCGGGGTGTGTAACAGAGGGCTTTTCATCAAATCTTGCTATTTATTATTTTTTCTATTTATTGGTTTTTCCCCCTAAGCTTTCCCCTGAAAGCACAGGAGTTAGACTCTCTCCAAACACCCTGTGAAAGATGATCCCAGTCATTCCAATGGCTACCGTGGCCTGGACCCCAAGCCCCCCCCCCCCGGTCCTAGACTGACAACTAAACACTCCAAGGGGCCCTGAATCCATGCCCCGACTGGCATTTCTGGATTGGCACAGTGGTCCTTCTTATTCAGAGCTGCTCTGCATAGCCTCAGCAAGTATTTGAGAGACAGAAACACCTTTTCCATCCATTTCTAATTACGTAATAGCCCCATTACCCCATCTGCGTCGATCCAGGCAGGATGTAAATCAAAGCACGGCCAAGAAAATAAATAAAACATCGCGCAAACCAAGGCTTGCCCTGGGGCACGTCACTCTTGAGGTTTTGCTGAATGTGGCGGCTGAAGGACGCTGGGTCAAGAAAGGCTGTTTGCACCGGAAGATGCTTTGGGTCTCCAACACCTGTCCTGATGTGCAGTTTAGGAGCTGGAAATCACCCTATGAGAAAAGCTTAGGGCCATCTCCCTGACGTGGTCCAGATTGGCATCAGGAGCTGAGGGGATTAAGGAGAAAGGCTGGGAAAACTTTTTGATCTTACATAGACCTTACTCGGAAGGGTGGCGTGAACCCTCCCATTCGGGCTGAAGCCGGATCCTCTGACTCAGTTCCAGCCCGTGATAAAAGCACCAGCTTTGGACCCAGCTGGAGCTGAACGATGCTGAGATGCTGAGGCTGTCCTTCCCTGGGGAGTCCCTTTTCAAAAGCTGGGATCATTAACATCTGAGTACTGCTTTTGCGAGTAGAGTAGCAGTCGAAGGCTCCAAGCACCCATTTGGCCCCTTAAAATTCACTCCAACCTCTTAATCTTTGCACCTTTTGTTGCTTAATAAGGAGATCTGAGGCTTGGAGATGGGTCTATAGAAGATGGGGTGAAGTATGGAATGAAGATGTATTTGGTAGTATTTTAAGAGACAGTTTGAGTTGTTAAAGTTGTGTATACTTGCTGGGGATGAAGGGGGAAGTTTCTTTTTGGGGGGATTTTTTTTTCTTTTTCTCTGCACTGTAATTTCATGGCTGTCTTATTTGTTCTATATCATCTTTAATCAAATCATTGGAAAAAAAAAGTCACTCCAGCTTCCATACTTGGCAGAAAAGGGTCAAATATCCAGTCCCACCAACTGAGGTTTCTAAGCCCACAAAAGGGAAACCAGTGTTCTTCCTTCCTTCCTACACCCCACATTTTGGGGAGGGGGGAGGGGAATCCATAGGTCCTGGCTGGCTCTAGAATGGGGGAGTCCTCAATTTCACCCCCCAGCATTGTCCATGGGGAGGAATACCTGGTATTGGAGTCCAACACCATCCAAGGACAACCAGCTGTAGGGTAGAATACAGAAAATATCATTTCGATTCCCCAGGAAGCATCCAGGGCATTGTGGGAAATGAAGATGGAGGCCCCCCAGCCCTGTTTGGGGGGGGGGGGGGGATTTGGGATTGCCAAGAAGTCCAAGAAGTATGGAAGAAACTCTGCTTCTCCCTCCCGCCGGCCATGACCTACAGCAGTGTTTCTCAACCTTGGCCGCTTTAA